TCTATTTGACAGAAGGGTTTTCACATACGTCAAATCAGATACACCGGTTTTTGTTTTGCAGTGAAGATACGTCGGCAGCTCTAAAAGCATTGAGGAATTGTCGGTTGGTTGATTAATTTACGTAACTACTCAGAGTTGCGTAATAATCGATGTTAAAAGCGGAGATGAGAAGGTCACTGCATTATCTGCTGTCAGATGTTAAACGTTTTGTGTTTTTCGTATTCAGAAAGCGCTGGTCAGAATGGTATGTGAAGTTCAATATTAAAGTAAAGATTAAAGTGCAATTTCATTAGAATACTTTTGAAATAATAAACATCTTGCTCCCGGAAATACAAAAACAAACATACAAACTTGACGCATTTGCAGAGTGATAATGGTTGCTTTGTTTTTTCACATACGACGCTTCACTGTGAGCGTATCTGCAGTTTTTGTGTTATCATCAAATTTTAACAGTTGAGTCATGTTGACAATAAAAGGGTGTATCAACACCATTTTAAAAACAATGAAAGAACGTCACATAGGGCGTTTATTAAATATATTTTCCATAATGTATTACAATTTCAAACCTTGTTTTTCATTAACTCGTTGGAAAAGCATGTATTTTATATTCGGTTAGATGCACAATATCGATTTGTTTATTTTTGCGACTTACGTCCTTTTGAAAAGTTATGCTTGATTTCTGCAGATTGCTGCTAATGTTGTTGTGACGACTGTTGGTGATACTGATGAAGACTGCTCCTGGCTGGCCTTGCGGTATATAATCCCTCAGTTAGAATGGTGAGATGATACATGTAAAGAAAAGACCCGGTAGATCCGGAGGAAATAGCTGGACAGATTGGACAGGTCCTTACCTTGAACCCAAGGATATTGGGCCTTGTATTTATTTGTTCTCTCCGGGTGATGATGTGCCAACATTGATGCTTGCGATAGCCGCACCGCCGTTAGATCCTTTGTCGTCATAGAGTGAAGATGCTACCGAAAGAAAGCAAAGTTTTGCGACAGGACGAGTGATGAACCCACGTGGTGTTTGAAGTGTAACAACACGCACAATACCATCCTTGCCGGGGTGAAGTTCGTGGATCCTGCCGGTCAGCCATTGCATTGATGGTAGATTCTCCTCCTTGATGATCACAAGACGATTCTTCTCTATTTTTACCGGAGGATTGCACCACTTGGCTCTAGGCTGAGTCAACCGATTGTACGGGACCGAATCGAGGTTAACGTCCGAAACAGCCTTCAATGTCGAGCCCACAAGGAAATGACCCGGGGTAAGAGGATCGAGGTCAGAAGGGTCGTCGCTTAATGGAGTGAGTGGACAGGAGTTTAGACAACATTCAATTTGAGCTAAAAGTGTCGTACGCCAACACTCGAGAACCTAGTACCCGAGTGAAATGCTTCTGAGCTGATTTGATCGCCGCCTCCCAAAGTCCGCCGAAATGAGATCCTTTGGGAGGATTAAAGTGCCAACGGATTCCGTTTTCCGTACACTCTCGAGCTACCTGGTATTTGTGTTCCTTGCTTCTCAAAAGCCGCTTCAGCTCATTCGCTGCGCCCACAAAATTCTTCCCATTGTCTGTGTAGGCGTCTAAGCACAGCCCACGGCGCACCACGAACCGCCGGAAAGCTTGCAGGAACTTGACAGTAGTCAAATTCACAACGAGTTCAAGGTGAACCGCTTTCGTCGCAAAACATACGAATACAGCTACGTATGCTTTGATCGGTGCATCGCGCCTGTGCCGTGGTTGGATGTAGATTGGTCCCCAACAGTCTATTCCAACTTTAGAGAAGGGTCGTGATGCAGTCACACGAGCAGCCGGGAGCTCGGACATGAACTGTTCGATGAGCTTAGGTCGTGCGCGTACACAGGTGACGCATTTGTGTACGATCTGCCGAGCCACACTTCTTCCGCCTAAGAGCCAGTAACGGATTCGAATCGTATTGACCATCAGTTTAGGAGCAGTTTATCCAATCGCTTCCATTCATCCGAAAAACATTGTTACTGCAGTAATCGTATGAGTGCGTGTTCAGCAGACTTTAGTTCATCAGTCGTAAGGAAGATGAATTTCCGATCTTCCTTTCGTATTAGCAAAAATGAAAAGAAGCGTCGCCAGTAAGCAGTAATTCGTACCATTTTCGAGTAGTTGGAGAATTTAGCAACGTATTCATCGATGAACGAGGATGTGGTAGTGGCAGGAGCAGAAATTGTAGCAATCTTCCGTCGTTCCGTGTTGCAATTATCAGTCGATCCGCACTGCTGTCCAGGAACAGGCCAATACTCCTTTTCTTTCTGCAACCATTCTGGACCTCTCCACCAGAGTGTGTTGTAGATGATATCTGACGCCAAGCAACCACGAGATATCACGTCAGCTGGGTTTTCCAGTCCTGCGATGTGGTTCCAAGTACAATGCTGTGTTGCATGCTGAATCTTGGACACCCTGTTGGCAGCAAACGTAGTCCAAGTGGACGGAGTGGCCTTGAGCCAATTGATGACTGTCGTGGAATCAGTCCAGAATATAGTAGAGAACGTCATCTGAAGAGAAGCGGCGATTCGTAGATATGACTCGGCGGAGAGTAGAGCACCACACAATTCGAGCCTGGGTGTGCTTTGTTTTTTCAAAGGTGCGATTCTGGACTTCGGCGAGCGAAGAGCGATTTTGATTTGTCCATAGTTGTCGGTTGACCTCAAGTAGGCACAGGTACCGTATCCGATGTCGGAAGCATCCGAGAACAGGTGAAGTTCAATCTCGACTGATTTCGGGAGTAGAACAAAGCGATCAATTCTCAATTCGTTAAGCGCAGGAAGATGGAGTGATAGTTGATCCATTTATCCCGAAGACTTGATGGAAGCTCTCGATCCCACTCCCAAACCGTTCCATTTTTGTCTCTGAGAGTCCACAGTGTTTGCATGAACGACTGGACCGACAAGTCCCAACGGATCGAAGAGCTGGGCAATGTAGGACAGCGTTAGACGTTTCGTGAGTACGGCGTTTGGTGGTAGAAGTAGATCGATTTTGTACTTGAGACGATCGGATGCTGGTTCCCAGTGCAAACCGAGCGTTTTGATCGTTTGATCACTATCGAGATCGATGGAATGCTGAAGAGCACGGTTTTCATGCGGGATGCCCTCTAGAACGGTCTCACAGTTTGATGCCCATTTTCTTAGCTGGAAGCCTCCCCGGGAAAGCATGGAGTCGAGTTGCTCCCGAAGCTTGATTGCCTCTGCTACGGTTGCTGCTCCAGAAAATAAGTCATCGACATAAGAATTCTTCTAGACGACCTTTGCTGCTATTGGGAAATTATCGGCCTCGTCACTAGCTAGCTGCTTTAGGACACGTGTCGCCAAATATGGAGCCGATGCAGTTCCATACGTGACAGTCTTGAGAACGAAAGTTTGTAGTGGTTGGTCCGGAGATGATCGCCAGAAGATGCAAAGGTATGCATAGTCGTCGATGAAGTGTAATACTTGGCGATACATTTTTTCGGCGTCTGCAATTAGGATGACTTCGTGGGTTCGGGAACGCATAACAATCGATCGCAAATCGTCGGGTACGACCGGACCGACAAGAAGAGCGTCGTTGAGTGAAATTCCCGAGCTCGTCTTGCTAGAAGCATCGAAAACGACGCGTAGCTTCGTGGTCGTGCTGCTCTCTTTAATCACTGGATGATGTGGTAAATAGTACTTCGGATGGAGCTCTTCTCCGAACTCACTGAGTGGTGCCATGTGGCCAAGTTGCGCATACTCAGTCACGTCACGTCGATCACGTACTGCTATCCAGGACCATCTGCATATTACATGCAAACAGGGGCTGTTCATTAACTACGTAGACAGATTTTTGGGATTCTTGACCTCACCCTCCCCCTGCGTAGACAATTGTCCATACAAAATTTTTTAAATTTGTATGGTCCGTGGATAGTTGCCACGTTAGGGTTATATCTAAAAAAAAATCCAAATTTGTCCAACCTCCAACCTGTTATAATTTTTTTTTTAATATCCTCTCCCAAAAAGTGCAAATGACGAGGGGCACGCAATACAAAGAACCGGTGCGTTGAAGTTAAAATGCAATCAAAAGTACTTAAGTAATGCGTTTTGAAGTAGTAATTAAAATTATCTATCCGTAATTAATGTAATTAAAAGTATTGAAAATGTAATTAATGTACTTTAATTGCGAAATTTCAACTGTAATTAATTTAGTTAAAAAGTAGTTATTGCAGCTGATGTATGAAGGTAATAATATGAAGTTGCAATACGGTGTTGAAACTCCTATAAATATCCAATATATAGAACGTACAATTGTTAAGGTCTACCTGTTCACCCCAGCAGGCCTGGGTTCAATCCCAGTCGGTGCCGCCGGGATGTTCTGAGGCATAAAATCTCTGATTACGCCTTCCTTCGGATGGGAAGTAAAGCCGTTGGTCCCCGGTTCATGAGTTGATGGGTCGATAGGTAGGGTCCAGGTGTGGGAGCTGCCTTCCTGGCACGTCGGTAGCATTGGTGCTCAGCACGGAAAACAGGATCGACGGAAAAAAACAAACCAAAGGAAAAAAAAATTGTTGAGGTGGCACTCTTGCCCCACCCGACCATATTGACAGGTTTTATGTGTCAAACGCATAGTTCAAAACCTCTTCTTGCAACTTACAAGTACAACATATCATTAGACCATCTAATGCTTTCATAATTCCGAAAAACATTTTTTTGTAGTTAGTGGAAACAACCCTGCTTGCGACTTGTGAAATTTATTCTCTAGGAGAAACGCACCTATTTTGGCCATGTATTGACATAATTTAAGTAGTTTCCATGATTTAGATCTTGGTGTTGTGTTAAGATTGTTGATCCAAATAATATGCGTCAGGATAAACATAAACATTGTGAATCAATCATATTTCTGAGGCATAACAACAGGAAACTATGGCCAAAACTGGTACACTTACCCTATTATATATAATCATTCTCATGAAACAAATAACAACATTGACATTCCTTGTTTTCTTTCCTCCAACAGGAAACCGAAATCGACTCCATCCGTCTGGCGGGGAACACCTACACTGACGACTCGGACGACTCTCCCGACTGTATCTGCGTACCGAGCCATCTCTGCCGAACCACACTGACCGGAGAGCAAGGAAGGTAATAATGCGGAATGTCATCTTCAAATAAGATCCATTTGTCAAATTTCATTTGGGTAGTGAGTTGTTTCGCTATTTTCCCTTGGACAATCCTCCAAACAGGTCGCAATTGATGCCTTGCCTCGCTTGGTTCGCTTCCGCTCTTTCTCTCTAAAACTTAGCAACTAAAAAAATATCTTAACTTTAACCCCGTTCGAATTTCCGACATCCGCGACAATGCTGAGTAGCTTCCGACTAAAACGACAAAACCAGTCGGAAGATCCTGTCTGCATTCGGGCGTCAGTTCCGGCTATCAGAACGCGGACCAATCTAAGGAACAACGGTCCGCCATTTCTTCCTCCGTGTTCGATTCCTTTTCTTCGGTGCGGAACCTACACTCTACACGAACTGCTCGGTACTGTTGCCCTGTAGTTCCATTAATCGCCATGCCGACTTAGGGTTCAAATCGTTCGGATCCCGGCATAGAACCCACACGTAATTGCATCGCATCACCTTCTCCGGGTCGCCTTCCACGACGGTTCCTTTGCTGTCCCGGACGCACATAATCTGCTGCGTTTGGAAGGTAATGATGAGCACCGGTCCCTGTTCCATCACCTTTCCCATCACCAGGTCGACGTTTTCGATGTCGAGGATTTTGGAATCAAGGAAGAAGCCCGCCTTTTGGGCTTGGGCAATCGGTGTGGCGATGACATTGTACGTGCTTTCGAAGCACCAGTCTTTGAGAATCTCCAAATCGCCGCGAATCATCGCTTCCAGAATATTGGGGATGATGTCATTTTCGCAGTCCTTGAGGAATTGCTTCTGGTCGAAGTTCGGGTCAATTTTGCAGATTTCCGTGAGGGTTTCGGAAAGTTCGGTCTTGGAGAAGAGATTTCCCATCACGTCGCTCACTTTGTCCGTCAGCAGTCGGGAAGCTCGGATCATGGGGTTCTCCGATTCGTCGTATTGCATCTTCCAAGTCAGGACTTTGTTCACGTAGGCGTTGTTGTTTTTGAAATTTTCCCAGCTTTGGTAGAACTTACTGTCCTTGTGCAACTCCACGCCCACCGCCTCGGTATTGGCTTCGAAAATACGGTTCGCATCGGCCATACTGACTTCGATCCGCTTCCTTAACCGTTCCGGAGCCTGATAGACTCGAGAAGAAATACCCTGACTATCGATTTCCTGTTTCACAGCTTTCGTGGCCTCGGAGATTCCCTTGAAGGCTCCCGTCTCACCCAGCTGTTGTCCCTTCTCGGCAATAGTCTCGCCCATCCCCCGGGCCGTCTTTCCCAACTCTTCGCCAAGCTTTCCCGCCTTTTTGGCAATATCCGTCTTAGCGGCCTCGTCCAGTGCTTCCGTAACTTTCCCCCGAATCTTATCCAGGTTGTCCTTCAGCACCTCACTGCTCTTCGAAGCCTCCGACTCAACGGTGTTGAACTTTTGCCTTGCTGCCTTCAACGCATCGGACTCCTCCAGCTTCTGCGCTTCCTGTCGAAACTTTTTCAAATTATCCTTCATCTCTTTGTTCTTCTCCATCTCCGACTTGATGTTGTCCACGAGCTGGGAGAAGAATCCCGGTCGGCGAGTCGAATAGCACTGTAAACAACCACATTCGAAACGTCATAAACAAAGTTGCAGGTGATTACATCACATTCACAGGCCTTTCATTCAGCCCCGAAACAACACTTACCGCTGTACATTGGAGTGCCGCATTTTCCAACCGGGAATTGACCTGAATCGGACCGCCTCGATAGAGGACGGCGATCCTTCCCGCTTTACTCAATCGTTGCTGCAAAGAGAAGCGAATTTTTACCCATCATTATCATTCGTAATCGATCCGGAACCGCATGAGTCAAGGTCGACGGCATCTGCCTCGAATTTCTCGAACATTACCCACTTACCATTTCTAAAATTTATCGGTAACCAAGACTTCACTGATGAAGATCACTTGTGGAGTTATTTTATGAAAACAAAAAGGCGATTTGTTTAGTAAAAATACATTTTTCAATGCATCACTAGAAAGTTGCGACACTCTTACACCATATTCGATCCACCGAACCGAACTTCGCACCCAGGCTGAAGGAGAGCTGTCAAAAGGAAAATTACGTTAACCGGGAGAAATGTCAAAATGTTAAATCAGTGCGGTCATGTTGGCAGCGCTGATGAGAAACGCATAGTTTTTGAAGTGGCCGTTGCAAGTGGGGAACAAGGGGTCCTGATACCACTCGAACTTTGAAATAAAACCTCGAATAAGGCAATATTTTGAGATTTTTAGCTCCTACGTAAAACCGAGCGTTAAACGCCGTTTGTTTGTTTGTTTGTTTGGGACCACCCTTAGCTCAGTTGGTAAAGGCACAGCTACAAAGCAAGACCATTTTGGAGGGGGCTGGGTTCAATTCCCGGTCCGGTCTAAGAATTTTTCGGGTTGGAAAATTTCTCGACTTCCCTGGGCATAGAAGTATGATTGGATTTGTCACACAATTATATCAATGCAAAAATGGTACAGGCATTGAAAGCTCTCAATTAATAACTGTGGAAGTGCATCTAGGATACTAAGTTGAGAGCACGCAATAAGCTAATATGCGATATGCAATAAGCTTGAAATGCGAAGAAGAAGAAGAAGAAGAAGAAGAAGAAGAAGAAGAAGAAGAAGAAGAAGGGACACATAAAAATAACCATTGAATTTTTCTTAGTGTACTTCAATACAGTTAGAAGCAATATTTTAATTACATTCATAAATATATTTTCAGAGACGGCTTATGCGGATCGGGCCAAACTTGTTGCCGAAAGCATCAAATCATCTCGCAGCATCACCCTCACGCTTCTACTAATCGGCCTCCCATACCCCAGAAGCCTTTGATTCCAAGTTCTTTGCATGCTCCCGATACACCTGGATCATCTGACCAAAGTTTCAATCAACCCGGCACTCCAAACCTTTCCTTTCTTTTGGAAATATCCTCCCTGCTGCAAGAATTCAACAGTCATGATAATTCCTTCGAACCTGATGCTGAATTAATCTTTCACGTCACACCACGTTCCCCAACCACTGTCTTACCGACAACAACCCCGCCAACAACTGCCTTTAAGCCAATCGTATTCAGTGATTCAACACCTAGACCTACGCCAACTACCGCCAGAACAACTCGTTCAACAACGACCGCCACTACCACCACCACACGCAGACCACTGCTGCCACCCAAACCCAAAAAGTGTGGACAACGCCGTGCGACCATTACTAGTCGCGTACACTTTCTAGACGAAGACGAGAGCATCGAGGAACAGCTCAGTGGCTCAGTCAACTTTGGCGAATTCCCCTGGACTGTCTACCTGGAGGAGCGTATCAACAACGGTAGCTTCCTGTACAAGTGCGGGGGTGCACTGGTCACTTCAAATGCAATCGTAACCGCTGGACATTGCATCGCCAAGTAATGAACTTGATAGATTTGAATATATCATCGAAGCTAAGAATTTTTATTCAATTTCAGCGCACGTGACCATCCAGAGAACTTCCAAGTCATCGCGGGTGACTGGGATCGTCGTCACAATCGCGAACGGTTGCCAAGCCAGAGGCGTACGGTCAATCGTATTATTCTTCATCCCGACTATTACTCGGGATCTCTGTACAACGATATAGCGGTGTTGATACTCAACACCCCACTAAACGATTCCCTTCCAAACGTGGGAAACGTTTGCCTACCATCGCCTGGAAGTGACTTTAGCGATAGCAACTGTATTCTATCCAGTTGGGGAGCTTCACCGAGTAAGCCCACCGAAGAGGCAACGATTCAGCGATTCGTCACCATGCCCATCGTACCGGGGGCAGATTGTGAGGAGCGTTTGCGAACGAACTCATCTCTTGGCAGGAGATTCCGAATGCACGATAGCTTTCTTTGTGCAGGTGGAATTTTCGGTGTGGACTCCTGCAAGGGTTCCGGCGGAAGCCCATTGGTTTGTCAGCGGAATGGCGCTTACATGTTGGCTGGGATTATGTCCTGGGGTGTGAGCTGTGGGAAAGGTGATCCAGCGGTGTTTACGAATGTGGTCTACCATTCAAGCTGGGTGGATAGGGTGATAGACAGTTTGGATGACAATGTGGTTTATTTTGTGTAGGAAGTGTTGGAGCATGTGTTCGAACATAAGTATTAAATTTAAGTACATGTATCTTTATTTGCTAGATTATTTGACTGTTTTTATGTTGGTAATGTTAATAAAATCGGGAAGCAAATGTGTCTGATGTAAATTTGTTCTCGATTTCTGTGTATATCGTTCAATGTAATATCACACAATCGATGGTATGATCAGGTTGCAACAGTTTGGATGTTATAATCAACAGTTGTTTTGCATTGTACACGGCACCTCGGCCCAACTAGCGAAATCAACTGACAGAAGGCTCAAATTTGTTGTTTTTTTATGTTTCATATTAGAATTTAAAATAACACTCAAATGTTCCGAGAAAATATAAAAAGTTTACTATCATTACATTTAATGTGTAGTCCAAAAACCCATAGAAAGAATTTATGTTCGTTTGTCAAATTCTATGTGACATGAGATTTTGACATCCAGTTGCTTTTTGATTCGATCATGACCCAACTAGCGGAGGCCCAACTGAAAAGCAGACCAAGTGTAAAAGCCCAACCAGCGGATTTGGTCTGTATTTGGACGATCCACCCAAATGGTTGTCGCTTGAGTTGGCTGCTTTCAACAAGGGACGCTTCTTGCCTCCGGATCCAACGGCTTCCTCAGCGCGGGGTTGCATAGACTTTTGATGCTGAAAGAGATGGTAGATCAGGCAGTTCTAATCAAAACACTCAGCTTACATTCTACCAACCGGAATATTCTTGAACAGTTCTGGATTCTCGTAACGCTTTTTGTTGGAAATAGGGAAACAGTCTGGACCGAGGTCTGGAATCATTAGACACATGTTTCACTAACATGCTTCGATCCATCGAATCGGCACCAGCGGAATGTTCATCTTCTTTGCTTTCTGATAGGTTGAGAGGAGGCCATCCTTGAAGATGACATGCGTTGTGTCCCTAAACTGAATCTCATTACTAAGCTGACTCGATCACTTTCATCACTCTCAAACCTACTTCTAGAACTTCTCGTTGATCTTGGCCCCTGTGATCCTGGATGCCATCGGAACAATTTTCAGCCCCGAAACGAACCTCCACCTAGATACAATCTTGCAATGCACCGTTGCTCGCTACTAGGCCGTGATGCCGTTCCTCGTGTGGTTCGTCCAGCTGACTGTAGGGTTCCCTCTTGGAGGGTGACTTCAATGCCCGTGGTGCACAAAGTTACGTTGTGGCCAAAGGGCTCCGTAAATCTTTGTACAACCGAGTCAACCGGGGATTGTTTTGAAAATCGATCAGCGCATTCTTTGCTATGGTGGAACGAAGAAGCACTAAAAACACTCAAATCATTGTTTTAACTCATTCAAATAAAAACACAAGGATATCTTCACATTTCTCGCTTCAGACGTAAATTCATACATTTCCGTCAAACAAGAACTTCATCCCAGGGTGAAACAAATCTGGTCGAGTAGTTTCATGCCGGAAGGAGTGGCTTCACGAGCCGATCCAAATGACTGACGATGATGACGGCTGCCTGCTTGAGATTCACGTTGGTCGTTTCGATCTGTGGAAGGGTCAGCAACCGTAGAAACGATTCCATTGATCCAAAGTGGAACGATTCTTCCGTTCCGAATATTGCCTTGCCAAAATCCTTCAACGGAGTTCGATCAAAGTTGAGACTGTATTGCAAAGCAAAACAAATAGATCAAAAATATACAATTTTTTTGGGACCTAAAATGCACTAAAATCTACTGCGGATAGGCTGCGGATATTCCGGCCGAGTCATTGGGAAGATGAGCACACACCAAGTGGTTGCACAGTGTGCCAAGTCATGGTACACTCATTGGCACTGTTTGTGGCACAGTGATCCGAGTTTTGGGATTCTTGTCCAACAGCGAAAGCAACACGTACTCCAATTCTTCGTTGATTTCGTGCGGAATGATCAGTTCGGATTGCAGGATTTCCTCAAGGTCCACGAATGGGTTCCCGAAGAACATCAACACGTACAGTGTCACACCGAGAGCCCACATTTCCAGTCCCGGGTCGGAGTAGCGGTTGCCTGCCAACACTTCCGGACTGAAGTACTCGGTCGTGCCGTAGAAGGTAGAAAAAAAGTTGCCCTTCCTGTACGAACGTCGCCGATCCGAAGTCAATCAGCTTAATATGTAAATTGTGATAGATGATAACGTTCTCGTCTTTGATGTCCCGGTGCAGTATGTCCAATGAGTACAGGAAAGCAACCACATTAGCAATCTGTCGAAAGACCCAACAACCCAGCTTCTCCGTCATCACGGATCTCGATCCATAAACTTGAATAGATCCATCCTGGAGCCGTGGATTTCCATCACAACCTGGAAGAACTTGTCGCTCTCGAACCAATCGAACATGTTGACAATGTTCGGATGCTTCACTTGCGTCAACAGGTACACTTCCATTGGAATTTCCCGCTTTTCCTCGGTCTTAATCAAATCCAAAATCCTTATCAAATGGGCAAATCCGAGTGCTGCGCAGCAGCAGTATTCTTGATGACTTGCCAAAGCGAATTGTCCACCGTACTGGTCACGCTGTTGAACGTCAACGCCAGATTCAGATGCAGTAGACCTTCCCACAGCAATGTATCACGTTGCCATTGTTCTTCCCATCCGAATATATCGACCTGCGTGGTCCACACGGAATCGGAAGCGTTCCAACGGTTAAATGTCGTTTTGGTGGTCCTGGTGTTGACATGATCATTGCCTTCGACAGATCGTACGGTTTGACTTACCATAACAAAATTTTTGATCGGTCAAAATACCGGTTTGCCAAGCATACAATCAACAATCAATACGAAACTAACGATTTTAAATTGGCTCACCACTTTAGTAGGCTATTGGTCCCAAGCAAATGATTAACGTACCCTATTCTAGTTGAAATTCTATTACTACACTATGATTCACTATGAAAGTTTGACAGATAACATCAGGGGTGTGTGGATTCATGCAGAACATGCAGGGGTGAGTGAAATAGCTTGGGACTGCTTGGGACCGTTGTTCTGGTACTGAGTGAGCCAAAAATAATAATGATTTTCTTCGGGACCCAGTGGTCTTAGAGTTACCTCTATGATACAATTATTCACAAACAAAGTCAGTCCGATCACTGGCACTCTTGGCACAGCGCGGCAAACTTGAGGCTCACTGAAAAAAATCTTGGCGCATAACAAGTGTGTAGGGTGACCACCCCTTGATTCCAGTGGAGATTTACGATGCTTCCAACGAAAGATCCATTGCAGTCTCGATCGAGCAGGTTTCAGCTCTGTTGGCAACATCGAAAAATTCCACCGGATTCGACTAGAACCTTCTTCATCGGTATCAGAAAATATGCACTGAAACTTTCGTTGGCAGCATCGAAAATCTTCACCGGAATCGCAGCAACAGAAATCTCCACCAGAATCGACTAGAACCTGCTCCATCAAGGATTCAGAAAATCCACCGTTGACAGCATCGAAAATATCCACCGAAATCGACTTGATCCTCCTCCGTCGACAGAAAAATTCACCTGAAACTTTTATTGGTAGCATCAAAAATCTCCTCCAGAATCCAGACCGGAATCGACTTGAACCTGCTCCATCAAGAATTCAAAAAAAAAAATCATCAGATCTTTCGTTGGCAGCACCAAAACCTCCAGTTGAATCGACTTGAACCTAAACCATTTCATTCGAGCAGTTGAAAACGATGTTTCCTACCACTCTAACTACGAAATAAAACAATAGGGGAAATGGCTCTAATGTTGGCCTATGGATCTAAGATTGGGCCCATCGCTAAAAATCTGCTATTTATCAATTATATCTAGAGGAACGCGTCATTGGGACGGTGCTAATAAATATTTTTGATCGCTATTGAAAATTTAGTCGATTGCTGAATTTATGTATGGGTCTAAATTAGGGGCATTTAGGCCGACATTACATCCATTTCCCTTTATTTTGTTTTATTTTTATTCTAGAACCACGAGAAAAATAGCAAAAAGTTGTGCGTCTCACACCCGAGTTCACACCAGGTTGAACTAGAAGCGCGGTTTTTATTATTAAAAAGTGTGATAATAGTGCACGTTTACGTGTAATCGTTTTAGTGTCTTCGGTGCACTTATTCCACTCGGTCACTCGGTCCAACACTACACCACTACTGACATCTGGCTCCATGATCGTGGGAAATATTTAGCTAAGCTATGAGCCAGCAAAGTTTTGAAATGGTTCGTGTCTGATCTATTCTGGACAAATTACTTTAACTAGATCAAAAAATCCTATGGTTATGACAGTTGCACATTTAAATCGGCCGTTTACGATTTTCGGGCATAAGTCAGAATTAAGTGTCACGTCAGTTCGTCGGTGCTTTTATCACACTTTTTAATTTTTGGAGCAGTCAAATTTTCGATACAATTTGTTGGACCAGTTTTGTGAAGTGTTACGAAGTGGCCATTGAGGGGGTCCATTAAGAAATAAAACTTCCGGGACTTTTGATGGCAGCATCTAAAATCTCCACCGACATGGAATGGATCCTCCTTAGTAGACGTCAGAAAACTCCGCTGAAATTCATCGGATCTTTCGTTGGTAGCATCCGAAATCTCTATCGGAATCGACTGGAACTTCTTCTGTCGAGATTCCAAAAAAATCCACCGAAACTTTCGTTGGTAGCATCGAAAGCGGCTTGAACCTCCTTCCGTGGGAACGTCTGCAATCAAAACAACTTACCCAAAAACCGAATCAGTATTAGGTGGGATTAGAAAATACAACCGAAATTCGCTGGTTGGGCCACCACCTCGGCCCAACTAAGAGCAACCGTAACGGTCGATGTCATTTGCGCGACTATTTTAACAGCGCACAGCGCTCTCATTTTAGTTTAGTCACTCCACAGCGGTCGCTGCTATCGCGGTTATCTATTTACTCGCCGTAGTCCGTACCGGTAGTGAGCATTTTGACATTTCTACGAATAGCAACCTTTCTCCCACGCTGCTAAATTTGGTAACGCGCTTCTGACCGAGAAGCCGACTGCTATTTTAGTGACTCGTATGGCAACCCCCGATACGGTAGCTGCGCTATGATGAGGGCTGCTAAAATGAGTTTAGCAGCGTACCGTTACGGTTGCTCTAACGAATTCGATTCCACCTTCGGCTAAAATTTGTTGGGAGGTATGCGTATCCTTTGTTGCAGCTAAGAAGATTTTACAAAAACACAATTCGGACTGAAGCAATTTGCTTGAAAATGAGTGGAAAAAGCAAAACACTGATGTGCTTAATATGTGTTTTAGATTTCTTCTGGAATTTTAAGTTAAATTCAAATGTTTCGATGAAATACCATATGTTTGCACACATTACATTGAATTCGCGAATTCGCAGTTCAAAACGCATATGCTTACCCCTACACACAGAAAAAAAAGTTGTTGAATATTACATCCAAACTGACACATAGATATCATTTGTTGATCACATTGCAAAAATTCAAGTGTGGGACACATTAAAACAATCAGTGTAGTTTATGAGTGTAGGAACTTATGGTTACAGTAATAGTAACAGTAAAATTCATCGCATTTTTGATGGATTTTTTTATTCGGGACGGGTGGAAAAGATATCGGATTAAAGACATTCGGATTATCGTGAGGATACTGTAAACTTACCCGGATTGAAACGGTCAAACGCAAACTTCGACATCTTGCTGGTTCCAAAACGCATACTTTGACAGCTATTTGCAAAGCGATGGCAAAATCTGCCAAAATCAGCTGACTGATATTTACCAACAAGCTTTTCGAAAACAAAATTTATTCTTCCCTCAAAATATTATGTGCAAAAACTTCGATCGTTGTTCTATGTTTTATTTAGTTTATTATCGAAATTAAGGACTTTTATTATGTGCCGAATTGTGGTTGTAAAACTCAATAACCGATCGCGGTAAAAATCAACCCATTAAAAAAAAGTTCCTAATTACGTTAACAGTGAGTGATTTTGTGTTTGTTTACTTTTTTCCCCCATCCCCACTTTGCACTTCTGCATACTGCAGTGAAACACGAAAAAGCTTGAAAATGGCCCAGAAAACAACCAGCGTTCCGTACAGTTTCTTCACACCTGCGCAATCGTCCGCAGTCGCTCGGTTCGGTCGGTCGATACTCTAAATACATTCCGCCGTGGTGAAAAAAAAAAAGAAGTGATTCCCTCTTTGTCATTACCGATTTTTCGCCATCCGGGTGGACATCTCTAACCGAAAGTACGCGTAGGTAGCAGTTTATGAATTTGATTCGAAGTGATTGCCAACTTCCGGTGTCTGCGTGATTGTGGGAAGGGTAGATTATTTGAAATCCGAGTGAATTAACTGGATTGCAGCAGTTCGCGGAGTGAATCACAAGTCCGAAAAAAAAAACTAGATTGAGTGTATAAAACTGGATCTGGGTTAGTGCTGCTGCTGTTGGAAAGCAGAAATAAGGAAGAGCAAAGGTGGAAATTTTGGTGCTTGTTAAAATAATTATGACCGGAGATAGTGGGGCAAAGGAGTAAGGATGACCTCGACACCGTCGCCGGAAAGTGAAGATTTCCCCGGCAGGCTGCTGCATCAGGTAGGACCTTGAACCTCTTGAACACAGGAAGCAAAGCTGGGCGAACCGAGTCGAGGATTATCGATTTTATGTCCGCTGTTCATCGACTTTGGCTACCCAAGTGCTTTTATAACGAGAGGGAAGTTCTCACGACGATGACGCCAACGATGGTGGTAGCGTAAAAATAGAATAGATAATGGATTTAATCCCGTACGGTTCAGTGGAACGAACAATAGATTACGATAATGACGGCTTGCGTAGCAGCTGGGTAGCTTCCCACGCGCGCCAACTTCTTTTGATTGGTCTACTTTCACAATATGTCTCTGCTTTTATCATTCAAGAAGCAAGGCAAGAGTTTCTCCCCAAAAAAAAAAATCAATTTACACCCATAGGGAATGAAACTGAAGCCGAAGGCTTGTGATTAATTTTTTTGAAACGAAATCCATCCGTTTCAATGGCTTCAATGGTTTTTTTTTTACACGCTCACAACAGAGGGTTAATTGCCCTCTGACGAGTGGTGGAGTCAGTCAGTCTGCGTCGGTTCTGCGTTCATTGAGTTTTGCACTTGATTGAGTACCTGCTACATACGTTATATTTTATAATTTATGATGCTGCTCACACATCCGTAGCCTCTGCGCAGCGCCCCGTTCGTCGGTAGCAGGTTGCATTATTGTTATTATTGACTTTCGTTCGCTATAAATTACGAAAGAGTTCCATCAACGAGAAAACTCGGTTAGTTGTATGCTGACCAATTAAGAGTTTATCCGTCAAGCGGCGCAGGCAAAAGTTCACGTTGAAAATGTAACATCGAATTGCGCTGGCCTGCGTGTGCAATGCTGTAACACACGTGGTGACCTAGTCAAACGTCAGTGTAGTGATTGAAATTGGAGCTTGGTTGTGGGTATTTTGGAGCAGAAACGGTTATGACAATGTTAACTTAATCGGCTCTGAATAAAAACAACCTTGCTGCTTTAAAAATTGGGTCTTGTCATAGTAGAGTGAATTGAGCATCAACACGTATTGGGGCAGGTAGGACTTGTCCTACGTACAAAAATACCCGGGTGAGACAGTAAAGGCAATGGTCAATCAATCGAAACAAAAAATTAACAAACCATTTGAATATCTTTATGGTTTCAGATTAGCTCAGTTCAAACACATTGTTTCACGCCATGAGAACTGTTCTGAAAAATTTCCGAGAGCCCAACACGGTTTTTCAAAGAGTGTGGAACATTTTCACCTTTTTGGAAGATAATGTGCCTCTTTTGAAACAGTTGGGCTGCTGGTCGGTTAATTTAAGTGTTATTATCTTCTACAACCGTACACCCTAGATAAGCCGTGTAGTGTCGGTAGTGGTTGTTTAGACCTTTTGAGTATAACGCCTGTTTCGGTGGCAGAATTCCTTCACACAGGTGCAGCACCGTACTCAGCAGGTGGCGAAGGTGGCACCCAACAATTCCTGAGGCGGAAAAACACGGCGCCGGCTGGGATTGAGCCCAGACCCATTGGGGTGAGAGAGGCAATCACGTTTACCACTACACCACCGGCGCTGCTACCAAAGTTCTTTGGACATCTATAAAGTTCCCTTATCTTTACTTCTTCAAAATTCTCTCAACTTCTACGAAGTTCGATTAACTTCATTCAACTTCCATGTTTTTTTTAATTCTCTCAATTCGAACAAGATCTCAACACATCCATGATCTTCTCCAAACTTTAGGAAAGATCTTGAACCTTTTCTACAAAATTTCCTGAACATCCAGTATGATCTCAAATAAAACCCTGAAGTGCTAAGAAGTATGCTGAACTTTTGCAATACTGCCTGAGCTTCTAAAAAATTCCCTGATCTTCAACGAAGTTCCTTGAACTTTAAAAACAATCCCAGTACTGCTATAAAGTCTTACGAAGTTCCTCAAATTGCTACTTAATTCACTTAACTTCAACAAAATTATTTTTTTCCTTGATTTGGTTTTCCGTCGATCTTGTTTTCCGTGCTGAGCACCAATGCTATCGATGCCAGGAAGGCAGCTCCCACACCTGGACCCTACCTATCGACCCAACGGTTTTACTTCCCTTCTGAAGGAAGGCGTGATCAGAGATGTTATGCCTCAGAACATCCTGGCGGCGCCGACTGGGATTGAACCCAGGCCTGCTGGGGTGAGAGGTAATCACGCTTACCGCTACACCACCGGTGCCGCTATCAACAAAATTATATCAGAATTTCTATGAAGTTCACTGAAATTCTACAAAGTTCCCCATACTTTTTAGAATTTCGTCGATGTCTTGCTTAGTTCTACAAAGTTTCCTGAATTTCTACGAAATTTATATGTAGTCCAAAACTAAAAGAAGAACTTTTATGAAGTTTGTTTTTAAATTAAACAAAGTTTCGTTAAGTTCCAATGCATTAGGATCAAGTTACACATTGTACATTAGCGGGTCAAAAACGACCCAAACTGCAACTCGCCCCCAAAAATAAATTTTTGAACCGATTCTTGATCTCTTGGCCTCAAATGAAAGATGAAGGTTCATAAAATGGCACCCTTATAAGGATTTCTTCAATTTGGCCATATAGCCTACCTGGCACCGGTTCCGATAGGGCACAAATGGACACTTCCAAAACCTCATGTACTGATACCGTGCGACGGCTCAAAATTAATGATTTTTCATCAAGAAGTAAACACACATCATGCCATGGACCAACAGGTGAATTTGACCTCATCTGGATACCCAGACCCGATTCCTACAAGGTTCCAAATAGGATACATCCTAAACTTCATGTACTGATAACGTCCGACGGCTCAAACATTATAATTTTTCATCCAGTAGTAAATAGACATCATACCATTGACCGAAAGCTGGATCTCGCCACATCTGGATTCTTGGAACCATCTATACGAGTAATTCATGGCCACTCTAGATGGCTCTCGGCGCCCATTCCAACTTTGCTGAACATTCGATGTCGCTATGTTGAAAAGAAATCAGTCGGCGCCGGAGGTGTAGTGGTTAAGCATGACTGCTTTGTCACCCCAATGGGTTCAATCTCAGCCGAGGTCGATGGGATGTTTCTAAGGCATACATATCACTGGTCACGTCTTTCTTAGGAAGGGAAGTAAAACCGTTGGTCCCTGGTTCATGAGTTGATGGGTCGATAGGTAGGGTCCAGGTGTGGGAGCTGCCTCCCTGGCGTCGGTAGCATTGGTGCTCAGCACGGAAAACAAGATCGACGGAAAACAAGAAAAAAGATATCGATCTCTATTTGATTCAACTTGAGCAGTGTTAACATCTAATGGTAGAATTTAGAATCATTCTCCTTCAGTCCGCATCGTGCTCTCTTGCCGTGCGGATCTATTTGCTTTTTGCTTAAGGAAGTGTTACTACTACCTAAAGCTACAACAAATTTAAACAGCACTTTTCAGTGCTCAACCTGTAAAAATTTTCTACCTTGTTCAACTCCTCTTATTCCTCTTCGATCCTTGTTTGGACCCTACCCGAGGTAATCCTTCTTGGATATCGATTTGGAAAATTCCTCTTCGATCCTTCAGATTCTTATAGTAATCTGCTTGGAAGTCGATTTGGATAAAAAATTTACTGCAGCCATGGCGCCTAAACGCAAAAGAAAGGGGCAAACTCTTGACCCCCCTTCTGAAGAAATTAATTTGAGTAATCAATTTGATTTGCTCACGGATGATGAGAATGATCCATCATCCAAAAAAAATTCTAGTAAACTTTCCCGGCTTAATGCCAAGAAGGAAAAGATTCCCCCTATTGTGATAACCACTACCGATTTCCATGCTCTTCGCATGGAACTTTTGAATTTCGTGAAAGTTAAGTTTTCACTACAAATTGGACGTCGGGGTGAATGCCGTGTATTGGCTGAAACCTTGGACGGATTTAAATGTCTTCTCAAGTATCTTACTGAGAAGAAGCACAAATTTTTTACTTACGACACCAAAACTGAACGTGTGTTCAAGGTTGTCATGAAAGGACTGCCCAGTGGTGAATCCCTGGATCAGATCAAAGATGAACTGGCAAAATTACTTGGAGTTGTGCCACTCCAAGTAATCAAAATGAAAATGAAATCCCGTCCTGGCGATTCGCGCAACGGGATTTCTAATGATTTTTATTTAGTTCACTTCAAGTCTAGTGAACTAAACAACCTTAACGCCTTAGAAAAAGCTAGCCTTATGCTCCATGTCCGAGTGAAGTGGGAACACTTCAGGAAGACTGAAGGAAATTTTCAAAACCTCACTCAGTGCCGTAAGTGCCAGGGATGGGGTCACGGAACTAAAAATTGCTACATGCCAGCTAAATGCATGAATTGTGGTGATTCCTCTCACGCAAAGGACGACTGTCCTGTGAAGGAAGATCCTAAGAAATTTAAATGTTCAAATTGTGGTGAAAACCACAAATCCAATTTTTGGGAATGTAAGACTCGCAAAGCGATCCTACAATCTCGTTCTAACCGACAGGTAGGAAACGCTCCACGTTTCCGACCAGGTATAAATTCCTCTGCTGTTAACAACGGTCAGCGAGGAACAAATTCTACATTCGTACCCGTAGGTACAAATATCACCCCTGCTTCAAATGTTTCATCTGTACCTACTCCCCTCGCTGCTAACAATGTTCAGCGAGTTAATGGAGCTACCTATGCTGCTATTGCAGCGGGTAGAAATCAAAATACTAACCAACGTTCTAACGGAAATTTTGACAATTTTGACTTAGGAAGCATTACTGCTCCTAAAATGGAATTTTTACAGAATTCATTAATTGACATGATTTCTGATATGCTTAAATCTAACTCCATGTTTGATGCTATTCAAACTGGAGTAAAATTTGCTAATAATATTGTCATGACTTTAAAATTCAGTAATGGATTTTAAAGCATTAAACATTTTAAATTGGAATGCTCGATCTCTTAAAGATAATGAAGACGAGCTATTTAACTTTTTAAGAGTTCATAACGTGCATATTGCCGTTATAACTGAAACGTTCCTTAAACCTGACCATAAGGTTAAGAAGGACGCAAATTACTTGATTTATAGAAATGATCGTCTTGATGGACCCTGTGGTGGCGTTGCCATCATTATTCATAGACGAATCAAGCATAAAATTCTTTCTTCATTTGAAACCAAAGTTTTTGAAACTTTGGGAGTTTCTGTTGAAACAAAATTTGGACAACTTACGTTTATAGCTGCCTATTTGCCATTCCAATGCGTAGGCCAGCAAAAGAATTTTCTCAAGGGTGACCTCCAGAAACTTACCCGTCATAGGTCTAAATTCTTCATTATTGGTGATTTTAATGCAAAACACCGCTCATGGAATAATGCTCAAAGCAATTCCAATGGTAATATTCTGTTTGATGATTGTTCTGCAGGTTATTACACTATTCAATATCCAAACAGCCCAACATGCTTTTCTTCTGCAAGAAATCCCTCAACTATTGATTTGGTCTTAACTGATTCATGTCATCTTTGTAGCCAATTGGTTACCCATGCTGACTTCGGTTCTGATCACCTTCCAGTAACTTTTGAAATATCCCAAGAAATAATTTCTAATCCCAACAGCTTTACTTTCAATTACCATAGGGCTGATTGGGAGCAATATCGAACATTTATGGAATATAACTTCGATCCAAACATTCCTTTGCAAACCAAAGATGAAATTAATTATGCTCTTGAATCTCTGACTACTTCTATAGTTGAAGCAAGAGCTGCCTCAGTACCAAAATGCGAGGTTAAATTCGATTCAATTATAATAGATGATGATCTTCAGCTCTTGATCCGTCTTAAAAATGTCCGTAGGAGACAATTTCAAAGAACACGCGATCCTGCCATGAAAGTTATCTGGCGGGATTTGCAAAAACAAATTAAAAAGCGATTCTCTACCCTGAGGAACAAAACTTTTGAAAATAATGTTTCTAAATTAGACCCGAGTTCCAAACCCTTTTGGAAACTCACAAAAATTTTGAAAAAACCTCAAATGCCAATTCCAGCGCTTAAAGAAGGTGGTAAAATTTTGATCACAAATTTGGAAAAAGCTCAGAAACTTGCTAAGCAATTCGAGAGTTCCCATAATTTCAGTTTGGGTCTTACTAGTCCTATTGAGAATCAGGTTGCTCGGGATTTTCGGAATATTTTCTCTCGGGAAAATATTTTTGATGATTCCTGGGGGACTGATTTGGACGAAGTAAGGTCTATAACTAAAAAGTTTCAAAATATGAAAGCTCCAGGTGATGATGGAATTTTCTATATCCTCATCAAAAAACTCCCAGAGAGTACCTTGTCTTTCCTGGTAAAATTATTTAACAGATGTTTCCATTTGGCATACTTTCCTGATAAATGGAAAAATGCAAAAGTTGTTCCAATTTTGAAGCCGGATAAAAATCCAGCTGAAGCTTCTAGCTACCGTCCAATAAGTTTGCTTTCTTCAATAAGTAAACTTTTTGAAAAAATAATTTTGAATAGAATGATGCTTCACATCAATACGAACTCAATTTTTGCAGATGAGCAGTTTGGATTTCACCATGGGCATTCAACTACTCATCAACTCTTAAGAGTTACCAATTTAATTCGTTCAAACAAATCTGAAGGCCACTCAACTGGAGTTGCTCTTCTAGACATAGAATAAGCATTCGACAGTGTTTGGCATGAAGGTTTGATTGCTAAATTGAAAAAGTTTAATTTTCCACTTTATATTATGAAATTAGTTCAAAATTATTTAACTGACAGAACTCTGCAGGTAAATTATCAAAATTCCAATTCTAATCGACTACCTGTTAGAGCAGGAGTTCCTCAGGGTAGCATTCTTGGGCCTATATTGTATAACATTTTCACTTCGGACCTCCCTGATTTGCCTCAGGGTTGCCACAAATCTTTGTTCGCTGATGACACAGGCATTTCCGCTAAAGGAAGAAGTCTTCGTGTTATTTGCTGCAGACTGCAGAAAAGTTTCGATATTTTTTCTTCTTATTTACAAAAATGGAAAATTTCTCCCAACGCTTCCAAAACTCAACTTATAATGTTTCCACATAATCCTAGAGCTTCGTTTTTGAAACCTAGTAGTAGTCACATAGTCACTATGAACGGAGTTCTAATTTCCTGGTCAAACCAAGTGAAATATCTTAGATTAGTACTTGACCAAAAATTAACTTTTAAGGATCACATTGAGGGAATTCAAGCCAAATGTAACAAATATATAAAATGTTTGTATCCTCTTATAAACAGGAAATCCAAACTTTGCCTGACGAATAAACTTCTAATATTTAACCAAGTTTTTAGACTGGCCATGCTTTACGCTGTGCCAATATGGTCTTGTTGTTGCACTACCAGGAAAAAAGCACTTCAAAGGATTCAGAACAAAGTTCTGAAAATGATTTTGAAGTTGCCTCCCTGGTACAGTACTACCGAAGTACATAGAATTTCGAATGTTGAGACTTTAGCACAAATGTCCAACAAAATAATGAATAATTTCAGGCAAAAATCGTTACAATCCTCAATTGCAACGATTAATTCCCTTTATACTTAGATAAGATTTAGTTTTAGTTTTTTAGTTTTAAGCTATCAATTGTTATACTGACATGCAGGTTTAAAAAAACCTGTTTAAAATACTGAATTGCCAAGACAGGAACAATGTAAAAACACTTAGATATATATCATAACAATTAAGGCTGGTAAGTTACTGTAGTAACTGGAGCACCTAGGATAAAAATGAAATGTTATTTATTTTGAATTTGGAACAAATAAAGAGTTAAAAAAAAAGGAAGAGGACAATATTTTCACCTCACCTTGAAGTCATCATCCACGTGGAATATTTTGTTTTCTGTATCGGGTTTGCAGTGATCCGGCTGGTGCTTCCATATAGTTTTGATGAGAAAAATTAAGATTTATTAAATTGTCCCAGCGGTTATGATCTTCCGGATTTTTAATGTGTGGTTATTTCAGCTGGAAATCAGATCAGATCTATAGATAATCGAAAAATACGACCACTCCCGATGGAAATTTGCAAGTTGTGCAATAAAATGTACATTGTTTTGAGTTTTGAAAATCGTCATTATGATGTAAACAAATGCATTGGATGACTTTTACTTTAAAATTGGCTAGCGCACTCTACATTGATGGTGTATGCAAAGAGCCTATTGAGGCATTTTACATAGGAAATAAATGCTTAGTCACTCAGAACAATGATTGGGTACCATCACGGAATAATAAACCTAAGAGGAAGAGGAGACAACTGGCTTCTTACTCTTTTATCTCTATGTATATCTATCTCTATCTTACGCACTTCAAATCGGCCAAACACGAGCTGGCTCGCGTTTGACAGAAAAGTGGTTCGTTTTCGCCCCCGTGTTATCTCCTCTTCCTTTTAGGAATAAACGTGCTGACTAAGGGTACGGCCAGGGTAGACGCGATTCGCGATGCGACGCGACGCGACGTGAAGCGATCGAAGCGGAAGCGATTTTTAACGCGACTCGATAGCCAGAGTGAACGCGATCAGAAGCGATATCGTGCAATGAGATGCAAACAGGAGTGGCCTAGAGAATTTGTTGTTACTTCCCTTCTCCCACTGTTCACATGGGTGACGGAGTTTGACGTCACATTTCGTCAACGATTAATATAGTGAAAGAACGAACGAGACGACGAATTCACATGGCATAACCTGTTTACCCCTCATTGGATGTCTTCATATGTCATTGTCATTGTCATTGCCTACGCACTTCAGTTTACAGTTTAATTAAAATTGTACAGAAATGGATTTTGATTCTGATTCTGATGAAGAATATTTTGCTTCTGATGCTGCGCGACGATTTTTTTTTTGAAGATGATCGAGAGTTTGGGGTACACCCAATCAACCAGAAACGGCAAATATACGGCGAATATCATCATTTGTATCCAGACTTGGTGAAACACCCCGCTAAATTTCGGAACTATACCCGGATGAGGATTGAAACGTTCAACTACGTACTGGGACTTATTGAAGAACGTCTTACTAAGCAGTGGACAAACTTTGTGCAGCAACCGATACTTCCTAGAGAAAAATTGATTATCACACTCAGGTAAACAAGAAAACATTGGTATCCTTCCAATCTTTTGCATCTTGAATATACTTGTAGGTTCTTTGCTACAGGTGTATCGTTTTATGCCTTGTCGTATTCATTTCGCATCGGTCGATCGACGGCAGCGGAAATTGTGAAAGAAACGTCCCTTGCACTATGGGAAACACTCCAACCGATACACATGCCACCAACGACCGAGCAGTGTTTTAAACAGATTGCGCAGGACTATTGGGAAATGTGGAACTTTCCCAATTGCATTGGGAGTATCGATGGAAAACACATTCGAATTCGATGTCCCTCTAACTCGGGGACGATGTTCTACAACTACAAACATTATTTTTCGATTGTGCTTCAAGGGGTAGCTGATGCTAACTGCAAGTTCATTTCAGTAGAAGTGGGTGGATATGGCAAACAAAGTGACGGCGGAACATTCAATGCTTCCACTTTGTTTAAATTAATGGAGACAGGAGCATTAAATATCCCTCAAGATGCCTACCTACCTGGAACGAATACATCAATGCCATATGTTTTTCTTGCCGACGAGGCTTATCCGCTTCTACAACATGTTTTAAGGCCATATGCACGAAGAGATGGGACAGCAGATGAAGAATATTTCAATTCGAGACTATCTAGGGCTAGAAAGTCAGTCGAGTGTGCATTTGGAGCGATTAATGCAAAATGGAGGTTGCTTTGGAAACCCATCGAAACGGATCCAGAAGTTGCGGAGCTCATAGTAAAGGCCATATGCGTTTTGCATAATGTAATTATTGATAAGGAAGGATATCAGAGTATTCAGGCAGATGGAGAAGGTTTCCTTGAAAATAACAAAAAGGTAACCAGACAAACATTCAACCATAGCTACCGACGAACAGGAAAGCAGATTAGGGACACGTTCCGTGATTTTGTGTGCAGTACCAAGGAATTGGAATAGAAACCGAAATAAAAAATATACGATTGTTTCTTGTTTTGCTATTTCGTCCATCGTACCAGCATACCAGTGTCTCCATTGAAACAAATTTTTACACCAAACATCCTGGAAGACCTTACCAGAACATCCTGGAAGAATATCCCAGAACTTCCCAGATCTTTCTGGAAGAACTTCCAGGAACTTCATAGAACTTCCTGGAAAAGCTTACAAGAACTTCCTGGAAAAACTTCCCAGAACATTCTAGATGAACTTCCTGAAAGGTCTTCCGAGAAGTACTAAGAAGTTTTTACAGGTAGTAAGTTTTTCCATGAAGTTCTGGGAAGTTTTTCCAAGAAGTTCTAAGAAGTTCTTTCAGGAAGTTCTAGGAAGTTAACTTCCTGAAGGCACTTCCTAGAACATCCCAGAATTTCCAGGAAGAACTTTCCAGCCCTTCCTGTAAGAACTTTCCAGAACTTTGTAGAATAACTTCCCAGACCTTCCAGGAAAAAAAATCAAGAACTTCCTGAATAAACTTACTAGAAATTCCTGCACAAAAAATTCCCAGTACTTCCTGGAAGAACTACCTAGAACTTCCTGGAAGTTCTAGGATGTTCGAGGAAGAATTTCCAGGAAGTTTTGGGAAGCTCTAGGAAGTTCTTTCATGAAATTGTAGGAAGTTGGTATCCTGAAAGAACTTCCCAAAAATTCCTGGAAAAACTTTCTAGAACTTCCAGTATGAACTTTTCAGAACTTCCTAGAAGAATATTCCAGAGCTTCATGAATGAACTTCGCAGATTTTCCTGGAAGATCTTCCCAGAACTTCCGAGAAGTTTTCAGAACGCATACCTAATAATGACAAAAAAAAAACTTTTTTAAATCCTAAGGTATTTTGAGTACTTTGTAGAACCTCGAAGTAGCTCGTTGATCTTCTGAAAATTCCGTGGATGTTTTGGGAAGTTCATTAAAATTTCGAGAAATTCAACAAAGTTTTGAGACATCTACTGTTTGTAAACTTCTTAATTAAAGTGAACTCAATATTATATTACCTTTAGAACCCAATAGCGATGCATATTCAATTGTAATCAACTATCAGCGAGCTCGACGAGAATGAGACCCTCACATTAAGATTTTTTTACTGTATGCTGTAATTTTTTACCGAATATGGAACAGCTGAACATTCGGTAATTTTTTATTTACAATCCGTTCAGTAAATTTTCTTCTTGTGAGCTGTCAAAATGTATTGATCTGGGACTGTAAATTTTACTGAATGATTGGCAAAGTTTACAATAGTGTTCAGTATCTTTTTTACCGAAAATTCTGTACTTTATTTTCCTAAATGAATCCCAAAAAATATGATTCTTATTGATTAATCAATTATTTATTTCATCAAACATCACACCAAAAGATTAATTTGACTCATAAACCATTTATTTTTGTATAAGCATATGAATCGCATCAATCAATCAATGAAAAACCTGCCCGAGGTTATTGGCCGCATAGTAAACTACGCAAAAAATTTGTGGTTGAGGCGTCTGAAAACAATTGGTCCAGAAATGTAATATATTTATATTTTTGGCGTAAATTGAGCAGATTGTAACAAAAAACTAAAGTACTTACTATTCATAACAGAGAACCGAAGAACAGTCAACTTTGAAATGATAATATTGGTTAAAAAAGCTTTTGGTAAAAATTATATTTTACAGAACGATCCAGCAAAAGAAGTACCGAACAAGATTTAAGAAATTTGGTGTATTGGTGCCAAATAAATTTCGCTCCATTTTCTGATCGGTGTTCAATCATGGTATCTATCGTTTTCGCATAGTTAGGCTAGGAAAAGTAGATCGTTGCCCGCATAGAAAATAAGCAGAAGAAGAGCTTAATAACTTATTCGGGTTATCTTCCTAGCCATATGGTATCGTTGAACCATTTGTGTTATCATTGGTATATGGTACTTATTTATTAGGGTGGGACTCGATAACGTATCAGTCTCGGTTCGCAAATAGACGAGGACGAACCTCTTTAAACTAAATCACTTTTGACTCGTGTTAAATTTCTTTGAAAGTGGATGAATTGTTGCATCTCGGTGCAACTCGGTGTGTGGTGCTGCTGTTCCGTATTCTTTTTAATGCCGTTGTTTTCGTTTCCTGCTGGTTGCTCCTACCGTTTCTGTTGCCGCTAAATTCTCGACCGTGTTTCATCATCGAAGCTGCCAGGTTTGCCATTATCTACAGAACGTTTGGGACGTCTGTAGAAGTTTTAATAAATCTTTAGAAGCTTTTTAAAAGTTCGTAAAGCTTTTCAGAAGCATGTAGAACTTCTGAGGAATTCGTAGAAGTATTTTCTGAATATTGGAGGTTTTGTTTATATTTGTGCCATGCATTGAAAATTAAAAAAACCAGAACATTATCCATTCTCGTTTATAAAATATTCAAAAACATCTAATTACACTCAAAATTTAACAAAAAAGCTGAAAAACTTATATAACTAAAAAATATCACCTTCACTTTCAGTGTGCGAGCATTGGGCCTTTCTGTACACATAGTCGAGAACAACTTCTTGGATTTTAATCCTAAGTTCCAGCTTGTGGGCACCCTCCAGTTTTCTCACGTGCGGTAGCAAACTTTCTAAGAAAACAACATCTTCATCGCGATTGTTCTCAGCCTTTTTCTCAAGCAGTTCAAGCTTCCTCCCTTCGATTTCCAGCAGCCGCGCAGCGTGCTGGCTTCTCTCCGAAGACTTTTTGATTTTTTTGGCCGGAGGTTGCAAGGGTGAGCCCGAAGATCCAGCGATAGAAGGGTCGGCTACTTCAAACCAGCCTTCTGTTACCTCCAATGCCTCCACTTCGCCATAATCGATTTCATCGTCCTGATCATTGGCTGTTGGTGTGTGTGGAATCTTAAGGTTTCCGGTTGATTTTCGGGGTTTCATCTGCTGCCTCAAGAACTGCATGCAGGTAAAATATGGCCAAGTGCTGTGGCTGCTTTTATCTCCTGCATCACCGGATTTAGGTACCGGCAGCTTGCGCAGTTCCCTGGCGTAGGTATCTCGAAGGTTCTTCCACTTTTTTTTCAATTCATTTGCTGAAAATATACAATAACAATTAAGAATTAAAGAAAGAGTCGAATCAGTCATGAAAATACGTGCTGCTATAAATAAGTCGAATGCACCAAATTTGTGAAGTTTGCTCCCCAGTACAGCGAAAATAAAATATTGAACTTACCGGGAATCGAAAACTCCTTCTCAAGTTCCTTCCACCCTTTCTCCACCAGCACACGGTTCCGGTATTGTCGGGAGGTTTGATCCCACAATTCTTCCCGCAAGAAAACAGCACCGATAAAATATTCTGCATCGATTCCGGTAGCAGGTTCTGTTTCCGCCATCGTGAATTCAAAATTGATTTTTTTTTATTTTAAATCACGAGAGAACAACTGACAGATACCGAAATGCGACCCGAAATCTGTTTGAAGAAGAAAACAAAACATAAACGACTTTTCGCGCGGTAATCGAGCGACAAACCAGTGCATGCAGTGTTTGGTCGCATGGTAATCGCTCATCGCGTCGCATTCGTTCGCGTTCACCGTGGCATGTCAGGCTTGTTCTTGCTCGGTCGCGCGACTTCGCGCGACTTGTCAAAATTCGCGTCGCGTCGCGTCGCATCGCGAATCGCGTCTACCCTGGCCGCCACCTAAGCTACAGACTGAGTGCTCTGCTGTCAGTGCTGTCAGTGACTTGTTTACTTTTCAATCATTCACACTCTCACGACGCAGTGAATGATGAGGCGGATAGCAGCTCATATTCATATGATAATGACTCATTGAACCTGACTGCCGTATTCCCAGCTTCCATCTAGCGATGATGGAGATGTGCACCGGAACGGATACACCGACGGGTGGTGGCACTCAGTGCTGCAAAATCTCGACAATACACGGCGATATTCAAAATTCTGCTATGGTTACTCATTTGAGCTAACAGTCATCCTCAAGGCAAACCATGTGCAGTTTTTTTTTTGTTAGCTAAATTTGTAACGAAATTAAGTGATTTGAACAAGCATCTACGTTTTGAACTGCATGAATAACAATAATGTGACACAGATTGCACGAAATTACGTTGATTAATCAATTGGCATTGACGGCGACTCTATAGCTCTTTACTTCTATGGTAAAATCCATTAGCCAACGTCAGACTGTGCGTGAAACATGGCGGACTTCGTACTATCCTTTCACTCCACCGAAAAAATCCCATAAGAAACTGGGCAATCTTTTCTATAAGAGACAATTTTTCGACGGTGCCGTCAACGCCAATATCGTGTGAAAGTCTGTCAATGACAATGACAAATCTCAGCACTGGTCGCACTTGTTAACGAACCAGCGGAACGCCGACTGCAGTGATACAACGCTCCGTACTACGGGGCGACCTGGGCGCCGGTACGGTGCTTTTCAATCACGTAAAGATACCACGAAGAGAACTACTGGTTTTCTTCGGCGTTGACGGAGATGTGCTGAACTCTAATCGGGACTGGTAGTTGTTTATCCGGGACGTGAGTCTGGGCGATTCGCTCTGGCAGAGGCAAGATTCTACCAGACAGCCCACTCGTGGATTGTAGCAACCACGTTGTAGCAGGTGGTGCTCGCGAGGCCAAACTTCCTTCTTCGATGACCACGCACTCTGCAACTATTCTTAGTGGCCCGCACCCACGAGACGAATAATAGTCCCAGGGGATCGCCCCCAGTCCCGCCGATAGCATGCGGATAGCTTTTGGGTGCTGTTGAAGCCGTAGCTAGGCAAACGTTCTAGCCCGCACAATCTCCAGGAAACGCACTCGTCAAAACTCCAATGATGCACGTGTTCACGTTTTGTGACTGTGGATGAATTGAAATTAGTACCCCACGCACTTACTTTAAAGACTTTACAAGCTATTCACGACTCACGATCAGGGTTACGTCCACTCACTTGCTATAAAAAAAGGTTTTTCAGAATTATGAAATCATGAGATGGTATAGTGATAATTAGTGCTTGTAAATTAC